CGTAGCGGCTAGATCCTTCAGCGGTCGCACGATTGCAGAAATTTTCCAGCTGCCTGCGGCAAGTCCAGCCACCGTGCCAGCCCAGTACTCTCGCGGGCGACTGTTCCAGGGGCGACAGGATGTTGCAACGTCAGAATCGAGCGGCGCTGAAGGTCCTTCTAGTCCCTCTTGGGGCTGCCTTGCGCTTCCTTGGTGCAGCCTTGAGGGTCCCTTGGGGCCGTCTTGGGGCCGTCCTGGTCTGTCGAGGGGCCCCGAAGGAAGTCTTGGGTGTCTCCAGAGGCCCTCTTGGGCAGGTTGGGGCGCTCTGGGGGCTGCCCTGGGCCTTCTACGAGCCCCCTTGAAGGACTGTTTTGAGGCTGCCTTCGATGATCATTGAGCAATGTGGGGAGGGGGCCCTTGAGCAGTCGTGGGACCATCTTGGCCTCTTGGGCCGCCTTGGAGGCATATTGGGCCCTCTTGGCGGCCTTGGTGGGCTGCGTCGGTGTCCCTGCAGGCTCGGGGGCGCGGTCCCACAGGTTGTTCTCTAAAAGGGCTCGTGGCCTCGGGAGCGCTGGTCCGTAGATTCTTTGGGATACCTTGAGCCGTCTGAACGCCGCGCCCTTGCTGACGATTCGGCAGTTCCATACGCGTTGCGTGACCCCGCCAGCCCATCCGGACACGATGGCCGGGCGAGGTGCCCCGATCAGGGACGTGGAGGAGCACGCAGTGTAATGAAAGGCTGGGGGAGGAGGGAGGAGGAAGGAGGAGGGATAGACGGAAGAGGGGGAGGAGGAGGAGGAGGAGGAGGAGGAGGAGGAGGAGGAGGAGGAGGAGGAGGAGGAGGAGGAGGAGGAGGAGGGGTGGGGGGCGAGCAAAAAGGCCAGATGTTTTGTGGATTTCATTTGTGGATTTCACTCGAAGTGTCTTCGGATGTCTCTTGGGAGGTTTTTGGAGTCCTCTTGGGACGTCTTGTTCGGCCTCGGGAGCCTCTTAGAGCGTATTGGGTGCCTTGGGAGGAGCCTCTTCGGGGTTTGTGGGCCTCTTGGAGGCCTCTTACGGCTATTGAGGCATTAGTGGAAGGTTTGGGAGCCATATTGGGGCCATCGTCGAAGAGTTCGATCAAAGAAGGAGGGGGCTTAATTAGCGTCGCCCCCCCCAGGAGGCCAGACTTGGCTCAACACCTGGGAAGTATCACTTGTGTCTGCCTTCTCGCCGAGGTCTTCTTGGAGGCCCTAACACCAGGCGCCCCCCCCCGTCCGGGGCCAGGCAAGAGTGACCCTGGGCAAAAGCGATTGTTGGTGCGCGGCGTAACGAGGGACGCGGGGTGGCCAAACCGGGGCGCGCAGGCGGCTGCTACCGCTTCGCGTTCAGCGATCGGGGACCCCATTGGGCCCGCACCAAAGGCCACTCATGCGATAGGTCACTCCTCTTACCCATCTGTCGTTGAAAGTAGGTATTTCTAGATTTCCAGGTTCCAATTTACTTTGAGCGCCTTCCTACTTCAATGATCGAGTGGCTTCACCTTTTCCGTCCTCCTTAGGGGGCGGACGGAACCCAATCTATTGTCAACGCTTTCCTACGTCATGCTTCGATCTACTTCTGCCGACCGATGGGTACGCCTAGCCTAAGGAAACGCTCTAAACCACTCACGCCCAGAGACATCTAGGACCGACTGGAGCTGAAGGAGGCCCGAGAAGGTGAAGACGCCCAGATCTTTCAAGGCATGTTTGGGAGATCAATGGTTTCGGCATCTTCGGGCCCTATGGTCCTCTTGAGGCCGTCTGCTTGGGGGCCTCTTGGGTCGTCTCAGCGCCATTTTGGAGGCATCTTGGGCCATCTTGACGGCCTTAATTGCATGCCTTGGGAGCTCAGGAGCGCAGATCCACAGGTCGGTTTACAAGGGGTCGTGGCCAAACGAGCGCGGATCCATTGTTGGTTCAAAGTGTTCGTGGCTTCAGGACTGTGGACCGTTTTTGTTTTGTTCTAGGGATCCGGGCCTCGGGAGGGCGGACGTTTTGTTTGATGGGTCCTCGTTGAAGAGACCGCGCCCGGCGTCCCTCCTCCTCCCCCTCCTCCTCCTCTTTCCCCTCCTCTCCCCCCTCCTCCAACTTGTTCGGCACACCCCTCGCACGATTCGTGGCCCCCTAGGAAGCTCGACTGGAGGCCTCAGTGGCGACGTTCGCACGCGCGCGCCCCACTCAGTACAGCGCTTCGTGGCCCCATAAGGAGTTCCATCGAATGCACCAGTGGCGACTTTCGCGTGCGTCCGCCACACCGAGTACAGCACTTCGCCATCGAATGTCCTTGTGGCGACACTATCCTGCGTCCCGCTCAACCAATGCAGCGCTTCGTGGCCCCATAGGAAGCCCCACCGACGGCCCCATTGGCAACAATCGCATACGTCCGCCCCGCCCAGTACAGCGCCTGGTGGCCACATGGGAAGCTCCACTGGAGGGCTCAATGGCGACGTTCGCATGCGCCCGCCCCACCCAGTACAGCGCATCGTGGGCCCATAGGGAGCTCCACCGAAGGCCCCATTGGAGACGTTCGCATGCGTCCGCCCAAGCCACTACAGCGCTTCGTGGCTTCATAGAGATCTCCACCGGTTGGTTCAGTGGCCACGTTCGCATGCGTCCACCCTTCCCGGTACAGCTTTCGGGGGCCCCCTAGGGAGCCCCACCGCAGGGCCCATTGGCCAAGTTCGCACGCAACCGCCCCAACCAGTGCAGCGTCTCGTGGTTTTATGAGGAGCTCCACCAGAGGCCCCAGTTGCGACGTTCGCACGCGCCCGCCCCTCCCAGTAGTGTTTCGTGGCCCCATGTAGAGCTTGACTGGAGGCCCCTGTGGCGACGTCCAGATGCGTCCGCCCCGCCCAGTCAGCGCTTGGTGGGAGCTTCACTCAAGGCCCCATTGGAGACGTTCGCATGCGCCCGCCCTTCCCAGTACAGCGCTTCGTGGCCCCATCGGGAGCTCTACCAGAAGACCCAGCGACGACGCTCGTATGCGTCTGCCCTAACCAGTACAGCGCTTCGTGGCCCCATAAGGAGACGTTCGCACGCGTCCGCCCCACCCTGTGCAGCGCTTGGTGGCCCCCTAATGTCAGCCTGGGATTAACAAAAGAGTGTCCCCTACTAGACCCCGCGGGGCGCGACATTTTTTATATCACGCGCGCCAGGGGGTCGTCGCTGGCGCCGCCGAGGGGATCGTGTACCCCCTGCATGACAGCCTCAAAACGATTGTTTCTTTCGCGTAGAAGCTGTTATACAGGGTCGTACACATCCAAGGCGAATTTTCGTGAGCGGCGTGAGCTGCTTGGCAAATCACCCTTTTGCTGCGCCCAGCTTTCGTCCAGCCCGCCTTGCCCGCAGGCCCGCATCGGCTTGACAGAAAAAAGTGCGCCCTGGCTCGCCCTTGCCTCCAAACATCCCCCCTTGCCCCTCCTTGGCGGCCAGGCGTCGGTGCTAATCACTGGCGCCGCCCCGTTGATTTTCAATTTGGCGGGCGCCACCCCGCGATCCGCCCGAGCAGGGCAACTTTTTGTTTAACGCGCGCCCCCCACGCGTTAACCACAAGCTGACATTAGGGAGTTCCAACGATGGCACTAGTGGCGACGTTCGCATACGTCCGCCCCACCCAGTACAGCGCCTCTTGGTCTTATCGGGAGCTCCACATGAGGCCCTAGTGGCGACGTTCGTATGCGTTCGCCCTCTCCAGTACAGCGCTTCATAGGGGGCCCCACCGAAGGCCCTAGTGGCGACTTTCGCATGCGCCTGCCACACCGAGTGCAGCGCTTCGTGGCCTCATAGGGAGCTCCACCGGAGGCCCCGATGGCGACGTTCGCATGCGCCCGCCATACACAGTACAGCGCTCCGTGGCCCCATAGGGAGGCCCACGAGGGACCCCAATGACAGCGTCCCCACCGAGCACAGCGCTTCGCAGCCACAAGGACAACTCCACCGAAGGTCCCAATGGCGACGTTCGCATGCGTCCACCCCACCCACTACAACGCTTCGTGGCCCCATAGAGAGCTACAGCGAAAGCCCCAGTTGCGACGATCGCACGAGCCCGTCCTTCCCAGTACAGCGCTTCATGGTCCTATCGGGAGCTCTACCGGAAGACCCAGCGGCGACGTTCGCACGCGTCCGTCCCGCCCAGTACAGCGCTTCGTGGCTCCATCGGGAGTTTCACGGGGGGCCTCAGTGACGACGTTCGCACGCGTCCAGCCCACTCGTGGCCCAATAGGTAGTTCCATCGACGGCTCAAGTGGCAACGTTCGCACGCGTCCGCCCCATCTATAACAGCTTTTTGTGGCCCCGTAGGGAGCTCCACCCAAGGCCCCAGTGGCGACGTTCACATGCGTCCGCCCCACCCAGTGCAGCGCATCGTGGCGCCATCATAGAGTGCTCCACCGTTCGCCTCAGTGACGTTATTTCGGCTGACCCCAATGCAGCGCATCGTGCCCCAATCATAGAGATTTCCACCGAACGCCCCAGTGGCGACGGTCGCATGCGTCCCCGCCGCCTATTTCAGCACACCTCTCCTGCGTTTCGTGGCCCCATACGGAGCTCCACCGAAGGCCCCAGTGGCGACGTCCGCATGCGTCCCCCGCAAATTTCGGGACACCCCTCACGCGCTTCGTGGCCCTTCCACCGGAGGCCCTACTGGCGACGTTCGCATGGCGGCCCCCTTCCATGTTTGACCTCATGGGGGGTAAACCTGAGGCCCCAGAACCATCGCCCGTATTGTTGCCCCGCCCCTATTCGGCGCACCTCTCACACGATTCGTGGCCCCATAAGGAGATCCACCGAAGGCAATACCCACAACTCCGATAGTCACAACTGCATATGGCTAGGCCCTTCGCCCGCATAATGCTATGGAAGGGGGGGACGGTGCATGCGGCTGGACGTGGTGCGAGAGGGGGTCGGAAGAGTACAGAAACCTTACCAGACATCCCTCGGCATTCTACCACCTAGTCACGTGCCAGTGGGTACGGTGGCGGATCTACAGAGGGCAGGACTGACATGTTGAGATCGTTGGCCAACGTGATGTTTCACTCCTTCCGCAGTCGTTTTGGCCTCAAGGCCAGGACAGGTTATTGTTTTTCTGTTGGGCACGAGGGGTTCCCGACCACCAGAGGCTGTACGGTAGATTCGTGTCGTGCCGACGTGGCGGAAACCGCCGTGGGCGTCAAGGTTGAACGCCAACAGTGGCCCAGAATCGGCCAACATAGAACGATCCAGCGATCGAGAAATCGCCCGTCGTTCAAGGCTGAACTTCCGACGCAATGTCAGAAACCAACGCCGAAGTCGTCACGACACGGGCCTGCCGTGACCATAGCCTGACAGAATGAGCGACGTCACGGACACCTGTGTGCTTGTCTGCGGCGGTGGCAATGCCGCGCAAGTGGTGACCGGCCTGCTCTCGGTGAGGTGCCCCGCAGAAGGCGAAAGCGCGTTCAGGACGCTGCAAACGCAGGGCCGCGGAGGGCTCCGGAGGGGTTTGTGAGGCTCCAGGTCGCGGGCAGACGGCCCGTCCCGGCTGGCCTCAGCAGGCCCCCCAGCATTCCCAGCCTGCTTCCGCAGGCCCCGCCGAGCAGTCCAGGGCGGTCTCGACACCCTCGCGCCGCCTCCGGCTCCGCCCCTGGGGCGGTCCGCGCTCCAGGGGTGAGGCGTCGAGACCGCCAGGGACTATTCGGGGAGCCTGTGGAGGTCAGCTCGGACTACTCGTGGGGCTTGTCGAGGCACGCTGGGACCACTCGGGGTGCCTCTTGAGTTGAGGCCGGCTGGGACTGCCTGGGAGGCTCGTCGTGCGCAACCCGAGGCCTTGTGCCCGAAAGGGGCTCTGGCTTTCCGGCCGCTCTGTTCAGACCCAGTTCTCTGGCGAGGCTTTTGTTCTACCTTGGCGTGCGTCATCGATTTTGGCCTTCGGGGCCCACTGTCGGCTCTGGAACCATCCAAAATGGATGCGGGGTGGACATTTTCCCCCCCCCCCGGGGAAGATGTCGGACCATGATGGGCTTGTTTTCCACCACCACCACCACCACCACCACCACCACCACCACCACCACCACCACCATAGGTTGTATGCAGGGGAGGAGGAGGAGGAGGAGGAGGAGGAGGAAGGAGGAGGAGGAGGAGGAGGGAGGAGGAGGAGGAGGAGGAGGGGGATGGGGAGGGGGAGGGGGAGGAGGAGGAGGAGGAGGAGGAGGAGGAGGAGGAGGAGAGAGGAGGAGGAGGAGTGGGGAGGAGGAGGAGGAGGGGAGAGGCGGAGGCGGAGGAGAGGAGAGGAGGAGGAGGAGGAGGAGGGAGGAGGAGGACCCCCTCCCCCTCCAGCTTCTGGTGGTGGTGGTGGGAAACAGGCCCATCAGACCAGTGGGTCTGCGGATCGAGGCAAACACATCGGCGGATGTCAGGGGGGTCGCAAGTGGGGCACCGATCCGTGGCCGAGGCCCCCCGCGGCCCGCCAAACGTCGCTCCTCGTTGCCTCCTGCCGCGCTCCCTGCGTGTCTATGGGCCTCCCCGGCAGGGGCCGAGCTGAGGGGGCCCGGAGGACCGCGATCGCTCCGCACGGCCACTGCCTCGGGGCGGCGGCGCGGCCCTCCGACGGCATCCTCTGGGGGCCCCCTGCCAGGAGGCCTCCACGAGTCAGGAGGGACAGAAACACACAGACACCATTAATCGTCGAGCCCCAGGGAAAATATGGGAAAATATGGGAAGTGGGGGAGAAGACAGGAAGCAAGAAAATATAGGAAAATATATAAGGAATCTTTTTATTTGTGTGTATTTATTCGTGTGTCCTGGGGCCCCTTCAACGAGGGCAGCGCGACGGCTGTGCGCCACCGCCAGGGCCGGCTCGGGCCCGGGATCGGGGCCAGGGGCTGGTGCCCGGGGCCCCTTTTTCTCCGGGGCCGCGCCAGGGAGCCGTAGCCACAGATCTGGGGCCCGGGCGCGGCCTCTCCTCCTCCTCCTCCTCCTCCTCCTCCTCCTCCTCCTCCTCCTCCTCCTCCTCCTCCTCCTCCTCCTCCTGGCCTCTTCGCCCGAGGTACAAGACGATTGCGGTGTCCTTCTTCGCAGACGAGGCCGAGAAGTGGAAGACGGCGCTCGGGAACGACTCGTTCGAGCTCACGGTTGAGGGCGCAGCTGTCAACAAGATTGTCTCGAAGCCTGCTGGCATCACAAACGATCCTTCGGTGGCCAAGGATGCAGACGTCATCATCCTAGCCGTGCCATCTTTTGCTCATGGTGAGTATTTTGAGAAGTTCGCTCCTTACATGAAGCTTGGAACCATAGTCGGCGTCATGCCAGCGCGGTCGGGCGGAGACATCCTCTTTTCCTCAAAGATGGGAGACAAGGCCAAGGACATGGTCTTTGTTGGCTTCGAGACGCTGCCATGGGCCTGCCGCTTCTCCGAATGGGGCCGAAAGGCGACAATCCTCGGCACGAAAAACACAATCCTTGCAGCTGTGACTCCACCGACTGCCAAGGCGAAGGCACTCGGCACACTTCAGGGGCTGTTGGGTGTCTACCCGTTCATCGTCGAGAGCCCCACCAACCTGGGCATCAGCCTCCGCAACCCAGGCATGATCGTGCATCCAGGAGTGATGTATGGCCGCTGGGGGCCCGAGTCTTGGGACGGCAAGGCGAAGGCAGAGAAGCCGCTCGACGCCGACGCCGATGACGACGACGACGACGACGACCACGAGGACGACGACCACGACGGCGACGACCACGACGACGACGACGACCACGGCCGCGGCGGCAGCGGCAGGCAGAGAAGCCGCTCTTCTACCAGGGCGTCGACGACTTCACCGAGACGGTCCTGCTCGGCATGACGGACGAGGTGCAGGCTGTCTGCCGCAAGATGGAGAGGATGGTGCCGGGCCTGTGCTTGAAGGCCTGCCCAGGGGTGGCCACGAGGGTCGAGCAGTGGTGAAGCGTCCTGGCTTGCCTCTAGGCCCACCAAACTATGTTCTAAGAATCTTTTGTGGTCTGCAAGAAATGTTCTGAGAACACTTCTGGCTGCTATTGCTGTGTTTTAACACATCGGGTCTGTGTTCTAAGAGCATTGTTTCTGTTCTTAGAACATCTTTGGGTTCTAAGAACATGTCGTGGTAGGCCTACAGGAGTGCCGGGACTGTCAGACCGCGCTCAAGAGGGCGCGGGGTGGTTCGCGAGTCGCGATTGCTCATCCCCACCCTCCTCGTCTTCCTCTTCTTCCGGGGGGGGGAGGGGGGGCCACGAGAGCGCGAAGTGGTTCGCGATTCGCGATTCCTCATCGTCCTCGTCCTCTCTTCCCGAGGGGGGCGGCACCAGAGCGCGAAGTTGTTCGCGGTTCGCGTTTCCTCATTCTCGTCTTCGTCCTTTCTTTCTCTACCGGGGAGGCGGCGCGAGAGCGCGACGTCATTCGCGCTTCGCGCAGCGCGAGTCGCAAACATAGGTTTGCCCTTGCGAAGGATGCCTGCACCCTGAAGCAGTGGTATTTGGACTGCTACGACGGCCAGATGACCGACACCTCCACGCTGAAGGGCTGCATGAACACAAATAAGGCCTACCAGGGCTGGACCTAAACGCTGTTTTGCTGGACTCCGGCCGTGTTTTGTTTTGCGTGTTGGCAGGGACGTACAGGAAAACAGGTAGAGCAAAACGAAGCACAAACCGAAAACAAAACGAAAATCAATGTGTAGGTCCAGCCCTGAGGCCTACGACGGGCTCACGCACCCGTGCAAGGGCGAGGCGGGCAACTACATGCCCGACCTGAACTACCGCTACCTTGCCGAGGATGTCCCCACGGGCCTTTGCTTCGCAAAGGGCATGGCTGAGATCCTCTCGTTGTCGACACCGACGATCGACAAAGTCATTATTTGGGCACAGGGCTGCATTGGCTTGGAGATCATGGTGGACGGGAAGATGACAGGCAAGGACTTGGCAAAGACACGCGCTCCACAAGGCGTAGGCATTACAACCCCGGCTGAGTTCATCAAGTTAGCAAAGCTGGAGACGAAAGGTGATGGTGGGTCTTTTTCCAAGATCTTTCGCGTCTGCAGCTAAGCTTGTTTGCTCCGTCGCAGGCTTGCTCTGGTGGCGCAGCCCCCCAACCGGCGTCGAGAGTCAACTCCGAGCCGGTGTGGTGTTGCCTTTGTTTCGATTATTGATTTTCAATTGCGCTAAAGCGATTGCCGAGTCCATGGAGTTCGTCTCGTTCGAACGAGCGAGTGCGGATGGTCCATCGCCTCCGAGAGTAGGTCCGAATTTTCCACCGACCCAAGCGGTGCATTCGTCTACGAGCCCATGAAGAAATCAACGTACTTGACCGTCGCCAGGCATGCGTTGTGTATTCGCCTTGTTCTTTCGGCGGGATCTTCACAATGATATTGATTACGCCGCTCAATGCAAAAAGTTGAGAGACATCTCTCGGGTTGTTGCTCGACGGGTCGCCCACCACCGTGCTACAATCGGACGCAGCCGCCTGCCCGGTCCACCGCGGCACGAACTCGATCGGGCAACGGGGATCTTGAGATGAGGAGGAGGACGAGGAGGAGGAGGAGGAGGAGGAGGAGGAGGAGGGGGGCAGGAGCAGAGGAGAGGGGCAGGGAAGGAGGAGGAGGGCAGGAGGAGGCGGGGGCGGAGAAGGAGGAGAAGGAGGAGGGAGAGGAGGAGGGAGATGACGGGGAATAGGTGGAGGACGAGGGCGAGGTATTGAGCATTCGCCATCTCGGGGAGCGCCAACACGTCAAGACCGATCCAGGTCAGGCAAATCATGGGGGCGTACAGTGGAAACCCATGCGTACAGTGAGGAGGAGGAGGAGGAGGAGGAGGAGGAAGAAGAAGAAGAAGACGAAGAAGAAGAAGAGGAGGAGGAGGAGGAGGAGGAGGGGGAGGGAGAGGGGGAGGAGGAGGAGGAGGAGAAGAAGGAAGAGGAGGTGGAGGAGGAGGGAGGGAAAGGGGTCGGAGCAGGTGGAGGAGGAGAGGGAGGAGCGGAAAGGAGTGGCCTTGTCTTCAGGGTGTCTTGGGTTTCGCGGGTTTGGATGGGTTTCATGTGGAAAGCGTGACGTTCCCATCAAAAATCAGTGGACATCCTGGGGTCTCAGGATTGGGTTTCTTGTGGAAGGTTTCTTGTGGTCGAGCTCCTATTGCACTTGTCCCAGGATTGGCATAACCAGGATCGGTGTTGTTGTGTGGCTCTCCCAGATCATCCATGAGCGTCGCGTCGTGCCGGCGGCAGCGGCAGTGGTTTGCGGGGTGTTTTCTCGTCCTCTTCGTCTTCTTCATCTCTTTGTTGGTGCCCAGATTGTATGTCAGTCGTGGTAGATTGATTCATGTCCGTCTGAATGCATGGAACAGAAGGAACAGGAGGAGGTGGACGACGACGACGACGACGACGACGACGACGACGACGACGTCGACGACGACGACGACGACGACGACGACGACGACGACGACGACGACGACGACGACGGGGGGAGGGAAGAGGGAGAAAGAGGCGACGGTGGTGGCGTCAGACGATGCGGTGCAGTATAGGTGGCCTCGGGCCACAAACCACCAAAGGCACCAGGCGTAAACCAAGTGGCGCCTCCCGTCCCCAGATGGAGCATTTCCGGGTTGCCGCCCCGGGAAGCCCATGGAACACGAGATAATCTCCAAGAGGGTCCCCGGACAGTCCCGAGAGGGCCCCCCGACGGTACAAGATGGTCCCGAGACGACCTAAGGCCGCCCCAAGACACCTAAGATCGCCTCAAGATAGCGCAAGAGGCACCGAAGACGGCACAAGAGGGTCCCCAGAGGGTTCCACGAGCTCTGAAATGGGCAAACATCACAGGTGCACCACAGCATTTCAAAGTATGTTCGAGTTCTCAGTCTTTGTGGATTCCGACGGACCAGGACGGCCGAAGAGACCCCCAAATCCACCCCTAGACGGCAGGCCCCCGAGTCGGCCCAAGAGGGACCGAAAACGGCGGATGAAGCCCCCCAAGATGGCCCAAAGAATCCCAAGAGGACCACAAGAGGGTTCCCAGAGGAGGAAAGCGGAGGGGCCTTGCGAGCATTTCTCCCAAGATCGCCCCCCCGAGGCCCCCAGCAGGCCCCAGAGAGGCCCCCGATACCTCCCCCAAAAGGCCTCCAAAGGCCCTAGGCGCCAACCAAAATCGTTTAAAAAGCATGCGAGAGGCCTTCTGAGGGACCCAGCGAAACATCTGAGGGGCGTCTCGTCCACAGTCCCTGCACGGTCGCCGGATGGGCCCAGTGCGGCTTGCCGCCGCACGAAGGCTCAGGTAAGACGGCCCAGGGGAACTGGAGATGGCCCAAGAGGGGCCTATGATCGTTCCCGAGGCCCCAAGACGGCCCAAAGATGTGCCAAGAGACCCCCTAAGACAAGCAAGGGTGCCCTCCATAGGGCTCCACAACGGCACCAGACAACCAAGACGGACATCCCAGCAGGTGCCCAGGAGGTTCTCTCAGACGGCCCATCGACGGCTGGAGGAGGAGGGGGAGCCAGAAGACCAACTCTCCATCGTCATTCCTCACAGGAGTCAGAAGTCGATCCCCAGACTTACCCCAGTTGCGTTCTGACTGGAATTTCGAATATATTCCAGCCGTGGCGACAAGAGGTGTCCCTGAGGCCCAGAAGAAAAAAACGTCCAAAAACTCGGAACATCTGCAGTCAAGACGCTCAAAAGAAACTCTCTTTGAGCTCAGGGCTCTGCTTTCGCCCCAGAGTCATTTCGGATGGCCCCGAGGCCTGATTGCGGGCCCCAGGAGTCCGAAATCTAGGGAAGCTGCCGGGATCGACAAGATCGGCCCGAGGGTTGTTTGGTAAGAGCTTCGAACCTCGACGATCGGCGTCGTCGTCGTCGTGGTTGTCTTGGTTGTCGTCGTCGTCCTCGCCGTCGTCGTCGTCGTCGTCGGCGCCGTCGTCGTCAGCGTCGTCGTCGTCGTCGGCGCCGTCGTCGTCGGCGTCGTCGTCGTCGTCCGCGGGCGGCGCGGCCGCAGCTCGCTGCTGCTGGCGCACCGCGGCCTCCGGGCGCGCGCCCTGGCGGCACCGCCGCCCGGGCTGCCGCGCCCACCTGCCTCGGCGGCGCCCGCGGCGGAGGCCTTGGCGGGCGTTCCCGCGGGGCCCAGGGAAGGTCCTCCTCCTCCTCCTCCCTTTCTCCTCCTCCTCCTCCTCCTCCTGCTCATCTTCCTCAAACTCCTCCTCCTCCTCTTTATCCTCCTCCTCCTCCCTCCTCCTCCTCCTCCTCCTCCTCCCTTCTCCCAAACTCCCCTCCTCCGCTCCTCCTCTCCTCCCTCCTCCTCCCTCCTCCTCCTGCTCCTCTTCCTCCAACTCCTCTTCCTCCGCCTCCTTCTCCTCTCCTCCTCCCCCTCCTCCCTTCCTCCTCATCCTCTTCCGCCTCCCCTTTTCTCCTCCCCCTCCTCCTCATCCTCTTTCATCCTCCTCCTCCTCCTCCTCCTTCTCCTCCTCCTCCTCCTCCTCCTTTCTCTTCCTCCGCCTTCCTCCTCGCCTCCTTATCCTCTTCCCCTCCTCCTCCGCCGTCTCCCTCCTCCTCCTCCTCTCTTCTTCCATTTTTTCCTTCTCCTCCTCCTCCTTCCTCCTTCTCATCACCTTTCTCCTCCTCCTCCTCCTCCTCCTCCTCCTCCTCCTTCCTCCCTCCTCTTCCTCCTCTCCGTCCTCCTCCTCCTCCCTTTCTCCTCCTCCTCCTCTTTCTCCTTCTCCTCCTCCTTCTCCTCCTCCTCCTCCTCCTCGTCCCTCCTCTTCCTCCCTTTTTCCTCCTCCGCCTCACCCCCTCCCTTGTCATCTTCCTCCTCCTTCTCCTCCTACTCCTCCTCCTCCTCCTTTTCTCCTCCTCCTCCTCCTCCCTCCTCCTCCTCCTCCGCCTCTCCTCCTCCTCCTTCCTCCCTCCTGCCTCCTTTTCCTCCAACCCTTTTCCTCTTGCCCATCCTCCTCCTCCTCCTCCACCTCCTCCTCCTTCCCTCCTTTCTCCTCTCTCTTTTCCTCCACCTCCTTCTCCTCTTCCTCACAACTCCTCTCCCTTCCTCCTCCTCCGGTTTCTTCCTCCTCTCCTCCTCCTCCTCCTCCTCCTCCTCCTCCTCCCCCGACGCTTCTCCCCCTCCTCGCCTGCTCCTTCCTCTTCCTCCTCCTCCTCCTCCTCCTCCTCATCCTCCTCCTCCTCCTCCTCCTCCTCCTCCTCCTCTTCCTCCGCCTCCTCCTGCTCCTCCTCCTCCTCCTCCTCTGGCGTCGTCGCCGATGCATCGAGGGCGGATGCGAGGGGAAGCATTGGCCAGGGGGGCTCGTAGGGGGGGTGGGGTCGGCCCAGGGTGGGGCTGGGGAGGAGGAGAAGGAGGAGGAGGAGGAGGAGGAGGAGGGGGGGGGAGGAGGGGGAGGGGGAGGAAGAAGAGGAGGAGGAGGATGGGGCGGAAGAGACGGAGGAGGAGGAGGAGGACGACGACGACGACCCCCAACGGGCATGTCTCCCCACAGCAGGAATATTCTAGAATGGTAAAATAGTCGGGGGACGATTGTTCGTGCTTTTGTTAAATGCTGTGAATTGGTTGACTACTCGTTCGAAATGCGCCTGTAGGAGGACATGCCCGACCTGATCGTAGAGGGGGGTCAGCCCAAAGTAGGGTTGAGGAACGAGCTCAGCTGGATGCTCATAGTTCCTTTTTCAAGGAGATGTTTGGGGCGATTTCCCTCCAAGCCCCACCCCTGCTCTTACCCCACCTGTTTGTGCCCCCCCAGAATGGGTACGGAAAGGATGGGTACGAAGACCGACAGCAGTTCCTGTCCGTTGTGAAGCGGGCTCGTTGTCGGCGTCACTGTGGACGCCGTCCATGTGAGACAGAAGGCCGATTGCCCAACAGCGGCCGTCCATGTGAGAACAGAAGATCGATGTTAGACTAGATTTCCTTTTGGACATTGTACTGGTTTTCTCCCGCACCCATTTCGGGCGTGCCAAAAGGAGGAGGAAGAGGAGGAGGGGACGAGATCGGTCAGGAAGTGGAAGAGGGATGTGCGAGGGTATTGCCTTGCCGACGCCTGCACGGCTATGTCCGTGAGGGCTTCCCAATTGTTCCGCACCTCTTTCGCACCTCATCTTCTCGTTCAGTCTGCCACGGCGATGGGAGTTCGAGATTTTGTTCGCACGCGCAGCACGCCGTACTAAGGTATGTAGTATCGCTGTTCGACGTTTCGGGCGCTGCGAGCTCCGCCGCTCAGAGCTTGGCCAACCCAAGAAGGAGGAGGTCGGTCGGACGCAGCATTGCAGCAGGTGATCACTTTGTTATTCATTGTTTTGCCGATCGGCGCGGGCCCCAACCCCCCCCTCCCCCCCTTCCCCCTGGAGTAGCTGTTGGCTGTTTTGGGGGGCGCCTGTTTCGAGCGGGTGGAGTCTCCCGCAGAGGCCGCACCCTTGCAAACAGTCGCGTTCCCCCCTCCCCCCCCCCCTTGCCGCCCAATGCCGAAGCGCCGACTCAAGAAAACGCTCACCCGTCTGAGCGACGACCACCTGTCGACGCCGCTCTCCGCGGGCGCCACGGCACGAACGAGGGCGCGCGACCCCGCCCCCGCCCGCCCACCCCCCTCAAGCGAAGGGGGGGGGCGCCTGGCACCGGCAGCCCAAGGCGGCCCCAGAGCACGCCCCCGCCAGGGCGGGGCACGGCGACGGGAAACGGGCGCGCAGAGGGCAGCGCAGCGCAGGGGATCCCGTCGCAGACACGCGGGCGCAGGTCGGCGGCGAGCGAGGGGTGGGGGAGGCGAGGATGGGGCGGGCCTTCTCCGAAGGCTCGGAAGTCTCCTGGCCTTCTGAGCAGTGTTCGCGGCCCGCCCCGAAGGGGCAGAGAGAACTTCTCGGGAGGCGCGAGGGCTTCCGAGAGCAGTCCGGGCCGCCTTCTGAGGTGGCCTTCTCCTTCTCACTTGCCCCCCCTCGCTCGCCGCCGAGCAGGGGGAGCGGGGGGGAGGGAGGACCCGTGCCCGGGTCCCCGCCGATCTGCTCTTTGGTCGCCCCCTGTGCGATTTCCCCAGATCTCGACTGGGGGATCGACACCAGAACTGAGCTACCCAAGAATTGATCTTCACGTCGACTCTTCCACACAAATGCGCCAAACATCCGCAGGTCTGCGAAAGGTCTGTGACTTGACCGTGGGTTCGACAAGAGAAGTAAATTCTGGGGCAACTCGATTCTGTGGTCTTAAGTCGGGCCTGTCCCTCTACAGGGGGAATATTCAGAAATACTCCAAAAATAGTCTGGGAACTATTTTTTGATGTTTGTTGTGTTTCTTTTGAGCATGTTCTAAGTATTTGTTATTTTTCGTCCCAAATCCCCCCTGTACGGGGACACGCCCGACGTCACTGCAGTCGATCCCCTCCGGGGCCCGCCTGCGGGCCCCCAAAAAGACCAGCGGCAAATGGGTCCGGGGCGAAGCGTCGGCTCAAGCCGGGCAGGTCCCTCCACAGGATCCACAGGCCGCTTATGGATGGGGTGGGAGCAGGTGGGGTCGGAGGGTCGCGCCGCATCGCCGACGCATCGCCGATGCGGCTCGATACGGAGCCCGATTTTATTCACGCGGACGTTGCCGATGCACCGCTGACGTCGGCTCAAGCCGGGCATGTCCCTCCACAGGAGGAATCTTCGGAAATAGTCAGAGCATAGTCAAAACATCCAGAGGAGGAATCTTTACAGCATCAAGGAATAATCGAACCATAGTCAACAGTAGTCAACACATAGTCAAAATCCACAGGAGGAATCTTTAAAAATAGTCAAAACATAATATGCGGACGATTTGTTTTGCTGTTTTCGCATATGTTTGAGCATTTTGCTTGTAGTTTGAATTTCTCGTCCAAGACCCGCCGCCTGTAGGGGGGCACGCCCGACGTACAAGTTGACCCCTGGGAAGGGGTTCCGCACCCTCGGGGCCGCCCCGAGAGGCCAGGGGGGGCCTGTAGAGAGGAAGACCCCCACGACGGGCCCAAGGGTTATGATACTCCAGCCTACTTTAGTCTTGATCACCAGAAAGGATTTCGAGCGCCAGACAAAAAAAAAAAACTAGGGTTTTCACGTGTCGGGCCCTGGGAGACTCTTTCGACACTCTTTCGACACTTTTCCGGGTGCTCGGAATTATGACTGGGATGTGGTCCTTAAGTACGATGGGAGCAACACAACCCAAGGTGCCCACTACGAGTCACGCTGCCACACACACACACAAGCACACATTGCGCCGGCCACATCATATCCCTCTCTCTTTCCATTATCTCGAGGTTGCGATGTGACGACGTTGTAGGATGCTCTCTCTGTCCTCCTCCTCCTACTCCGTGTCTGCTTACTTTTTTACCAAATCATTTACTTTTTACTCTACTCCCCCAGGGCTGGCTGGACGGCCAGTCCTGGTGGAAGCGGCAGCGTGCGGAGCACACTCATGCCATCTGGAAACAGGAAGCAGGAGGACGATGACGAGGAGGATCCCGACGCTCGAAAGCTTCGGGGGGCGGAAACAATGGAGACGGAGATTGGCAGCAGTTCCTGCCCATTGTGAACAGGGTCCATTGTCGGTGCCGCCACGGACGTCGTCCCTTTGGGGACAACATCGCATGCCACACAGCGGCCGTTGTCGGATCTGGACAGCATTGACACAGTGACAACTTGTCCGTCCTCATTCCAGGCTTGCCAACAAACATCCGAACCATGGAGCGCCCCTCAGATGCGGACGTCGCCAACAAAAATAGTATGTCTTCCCACGTTCGTGGTCGTCGTTGCCGTCGTCGGGCGGCAGGCTATAAGCGGAGAAGGGGGGTGAGGATGAGAGGTCGTGGGAGGTTGGTGGAGGAGGCGGAGGAGGAGAGGAGCCCCGACTTCCTCGCGTCGTGGAAAACATGGCGGGATGTCTGTGGTTGTGTCTTTCTGCGGCCCTTCCGGGCCCTCGGGAACATCAGCAAAAGCTACCAAGCATGATACAGTAGTTCCAGGGGAAGGAGTCAAACATGTTGGGGGTCTACGTTCTGGAACAAACGCGACGTCGCAGGTCTGCGGAGGAGGGGGGAGGAGGGGGGGGGAAGCAGGGGAGGCGCGAGGGAAGGGGAAGAAAGGAGAGCACCCGGATGGCGAGTAGGAGGAGGAGGAGGAGGAGGAGGAGGAGGAGGAGGAGGAGGAGGAGGAGGCGGAGGAGGCGGCGAGGTGAGGCCAGAGGAAGTGGGGGAGGCAGCAGAAGGACGAGGAGGAGGAGGAGGAGGAGGAGGCGGCGAGGTGAGGCCAGAGGAGGTGGGGGAGGCAGCAGAAGGAGGAGGAGGAGGAGGAGGAGGAGGAGGAGGAGAAGAGGAGGCTGGGGACGAGGAGGCGGCCTCCCAGACATCTGGGGATCCCCCGACCTTGCCGTCCCCCCCCCCCAGCTTGGGGGTGCTAGCGGTCCCTCGGGCCCAAGGTGCCCCCAGTTTCTCGCGCCACTGCAGTCCTTGGGGCCCTCCAGGCCTCGTGCCCCCGAGAATTTTGGGGGCACTTTGGGCCAGGGGCACTTCTGGCAGCACTCGAGCAGTCCTTCTTCCCCTTCCCGCGCGCCCGGGACGCCCCTTCCAGGTACAACCCTCCGCCCCCTCTCTGCTGGCCCGCACGCTCTCACGGGCGGTTGCCCTTCGCAGTTGGGGGGGGGGCCTGCCCCCGAGGGGCGCTGCTCCTCAGGAGTTGCGTTGACCCAAGCGCTTGTGTGCGCACTTCGGCCCCGCCGATGTCGCGTCGCGCAGCCCAGGTCGGCCCTCGTTTTAAGTCGGGGGTGCCCCTCTACAGGAGGAATATTGGAAATAGACAAATCATAGTCTGAGGACGATTGTTTACATACATACATACATACATACATACATGCATACATACATACATACAAACATACATACATGCATGCACATGCATGCATGCATGCATGCATGCATGCATGCATACACACACATACATACATGCATACATACATACATACATACATACATACATGCATACATGCATGCATGCATACATTCATACATTCATACAGTCATACATTCATACATTCATACATTCATACATTCATACATACAGACATACATACATACACACATACATACATACATACATACATATATATATAGATGTGTGTGTATCTGTCTACACATATATAAATATGTATAGAGAAATTGACTTGTGGGGGACATGCATGGTGCATGTTTCGTTCTCGCAAACAAAAAATCCGCCTGCAGGAGGACACGCCCGACGTAAGCCTGAGTGGACTCGCACACGCTGGCGCTCACACGCGCTCCCGGGATGGGCGGGAGGGTCGAGCGGCCCAGGGGCACTGGGCGGCGAGCTGTGCACTGCAAGAGGTACAGTGGAGACCCATGCCAAGGAGGAGGAGGAGGAGGAGGAGGAGGAGGAGGAGGAGGAGGGGAGGAGGAGGAGGAGGAGGAGGAGGAGGAGGAGGAGGAGGAGGAGGAGGAGGGAGGAGGAGGAGTGGAGACCCTGCCAAGGAGGAGGAGGAGGAGGAGGAGGAGGAGGAGAGGGAGGGAGAGAGGGCGAGAGAGAGAGAGAGAACGCCAAGAAACAGCCTGCCAGGCCCGTCAAGAAACACCCCGCTCGCCTCCAGGGTGCCCTGGGTTCCGTGGGCTGGACGGTTTCGCGGTGGGCAGCGCGACGATCCTTCGCCACAAGTCCATGGACGTCCTGGCGCCTCAGGGCTGGGTTTCTTGTGGAAGGTTTCTTGTGGGCTGGCCTCCACTGCAGGGGGAAGAGGGGCTGGGCGGCCGCGGAGGCAGGGAACGGGCGGGGGGGCAGCCTCGGGCCGTGGGCCCTCCCGCTCCTCCTCCTTCCTCCTCCTTTCTCCTCCTCCTCCTCCTCCCTCCTCCTCCCTCCTCCTCCTCCTCCGTCCTCCTCCTCCTCCTCCCTCCTCCTCCTCCTCCTCATCCTCCTCCTCCTTCCTCCTCCTCCTCCCTCCTCCCTCCTCCCTCCTCCCTCTGATCGAGCACGGCGGCCCGACCATTGCACAGACGTGGATCACCGAGACGGTCGCGAGCCCCACATTCGACCAGCCTGGCAAGACGCAGAAGTCACGCCTTACTTTCAACCTCAAAGGCCAGATCCTCATGACCACGCAGGTGGCAGACCACGAGAAGCTCATGGCGGCCATCGAGGGCGGAGACGACACGATCAAGCAGGTGAGCCCCACGGAGATGCCCACGACGATCCTCAACATGCCAGGATACCTGATGGACATCAACCTGCTGCTCGCCGAGCAGATGCGCGCGGCGGGCGGCCGCCACCTAGTCAACAAGGCGCCGCGCGGCAACATGGCCAGGAAGCTCGGCGGCGGCAAGGGCAAGGGCCGCCAGAAGTAGGTAGGACACGCGCTGCAGCAGTCACGTATCATAGTGTACGCCCGCCGCCAGGCCTTGAGAGCGTCTCCGCTCCTGCCAGGGACCCTGGACCTCCTCCCCCTCCTCCTCGCCGCCTGTTTGGACCCGCCTCGCACTCGGCGAGTCAGAACGCTCCCGACCCTGGCGCCGATTCAGGGTTAAAACTGAGGCGGGTGTCCGGCCTCAGTTTTAACCCTCACGAGGCCGACCCCTTCGAAGCCGAAGAGGACGTCGCCCGCGAAATGCACTCACCTTAGGATATATATTAGCGCTGCTTGGTGCTGCGAGCAACAGTCCTCCAGATCACTCCCACTTGATGGGCGCCTCACACGTGCGCCCCCCGTGCGGGCGCCAACAGGGGCGCATCCGCCCGTGACTCCGTTTCATCGGCACGGCAGGCTCCAGAACGATGTGGAGCGAGAGAGGGGCGAGGCAATGGCCACCGCCCCAACCCAGAGCACATATGACCAGGCATGGATCGTTGCTTGAATGGGTTCGAGACGAGACGAGACTCCTCCTCCTCCTCCTCCTCCTCTTCCTCCTCCTCCTCCTCCTCCTCCTCCTCCTCCTCCTCCTCCTCCTCCTCCTCCTCCTCCTCCTCCCCTGCTGTTTGCCCGCTCGGGTCGTCCCGCTCCGTCGGCTCTCCCTCTCCCCCCTGGGGAAGCCCCCCTCCCGGTTGGCGTGCCACCTCTCCACGCGGGCTCGGCCCGCAGAGGTGGGGCTGAGCCCGCGGGCTCAGCCACCTCTCAACGCGGGCTCAGCCCACGGAGGTTGGGCTGGGCATGGCCGCGTTCTTTTTTGCCGTGGGCCGCTGCCCGTCAAGCTTCCGAGGAGATGGAGGCACAGGAGTGAAGATGTCGGGCGCACGAGGCCCTGCTGGAAGAACACGAGCCAGAGCACAAAGCCGCGTACACAGACCCGGGTGGCCGCGTTCGATGCTTTCCTGCGTCAAGGGAGGAAAACCCACCCAGACCCGACAGCCGGCGTTTACCAAACTGCCCCGGGCGTTCTTTTTGAGCGGCCATGCCTTGTTCGATTTCTTCCGTGGGTGCGTTTGCTGAACGCCTTCGCGTGTCGGGGCGTGTCTGGGTGATCATAAGGGGGGGACTTCTGCCTCCTCCTCCTCATCCTCATCCTCATCCTCCTCCGCCTCCTCCTCCTCCCTCTCCTCCTCCTCCTCCTTCTCTAGTGCGATGAGCAATCCGCAGTCAGACCGTGAAGGTCGTCGTCGGCGTGCTGCGGCCCAGGCTCGTTCGAGGTGGTCTGCACCCGTGCAGCCCGCAGCACAGGCACGCAGCCCCCCCTCCCCGCGTTTTCCGTGGACGGGGGTCCTCCTCCTTCCTCCTCCTCCTCCTCCTCCTCCTCCTCCTCCTCATCATCATCATCCTTCTCCTCCTCCTCGCGCTTCCGGGGCCGCCCGGGGGTCGGGGCTGGGCCTCCCTTCACCGGGGAGGTGGCGGCAGCTGGGCTCTCTCGGGGTGCGAGCCCTCGATCAGCGAGACGGCGCGCAGACCGCAGCAGTGTCGAGTCCGACCCCCCGGAGGAGGAGGAGGAGGAGGAGGAGGAGGAGGAGGAGGAGGAGGGAGGAGGAGGAGGAGGAGGAGGAGGAGGAGGAGGTGGAGGAGGAGGAGGAGGAGGAGGAGGGAGAGGAGAGGAGGAGGAGAGGAGGAGGAGGAGGAGGAGGAGGAGGAGGAGGAGGAGGAGGAGGAGGAGGAGGAGGAGGGGAGGAGAGGAGGAGGAGGAGGAGGAGGAGGAGGAGGAGGGAGGAGGAAGCAGGAGGAGGAGGACGAGGACGAGGACGAGGTGCAGGAGGTGGTGGAGGAGGAGGAGGAGGAGGAGGAGGAGGAGGACCCCCTTCCCCGCGCGGCCCGGCCGGAGGCCCCTCTGGTTCAGACGGTCTGGGACCCCGCGAGGCTGTCTGGCCCCGTGTTCCGGTGAGCCGCGGGCCGGATGCTGCCCGCCGCGGGCCGCCGCCGCCGCCGTCGCCGGGTGGAGGGATCGCCATGGGGGAGGCGGATCCCGAGGGAGACGGGTCCTGAGGTGTTTCGCCGTGTTCGGGCTCTCGGGGCCCTCCACGGGCCCGGGGAATGTGTGAGAACGGCTCCAGATGAAGAGCTCGTCCTGCGGGGGGAAGGCCCCGGGGTCCATCGGCCACGCGCAGAGGGGGGTATGGGGGAGGAAGGAAGGCTTCTTGGAAACACTCCTGCTCCAAGGCGCGGGCCTCGTCTGTAGATATAGTGCCGACGCCTTCTAAGAAGCAGCCTCCTTCCAGGACCCGCTCCCCTCAGGGCCCCCGTTCCCCCCATGCGAAATTTAGAGTGGGCGAGGGGAGGTGGAAAGAACCCCCACCTTGACACGTCGATTAATGAATTGTCCGATTTCGGCTCTCGAGAGGGCGCCGCGGCCGTCATGTTCCAGGCCTGCGCCCGCCAGGTTTGGGCCAGAGGTCGTTTTCGCTGAACCATGTTGTGCTAAAGGGGGTTCTGTCCATCCCCGATGTAGCGTAGCGCTGATGCCCTTCAGGGATGAGCATGACCCTGTTTGCATCGGACGGGGGCACCAGCGAGGCGAGGAGGAGCAGGGCAGGATAAAGGATGGAGGGAGGGAGGGGGGGGGGAGGCGGGGAGGGAGGGAGGGAGGGGGGGGGGGGGGGAGGTGCGATGGAGGGGGGGGAGGAGGAGGAGGAGGAGGAGGTGGAGGAGGAGGAGGAGGAGGAGGAGGAGGAGGCCTCCATCGTCGCCGTTCTGTCGTCCTCGAATGTTTTTCGGTTTGGGCCGGCGGAGGGTCCCATGTTCTTGAAGGATGTGAGTATGTCCTTGGTCAGGCTGTACCTCTTGTCTTATTTCTACCTGGCAGCTGCCTTGTTTGATCATCCCATCCTCCAGGGGCGACCTCCCCTGGTAAGTAGGGATGGCAGCATCCCTGATCGGATCTTTGCCAGCAGCGACAGCGGCAGGGGGAGGAGGCGAAGGAACGAGCAGCAGGAGGAGGGGCAGAGAAGGGGGATCACGGGGTAAGGAGAGAGGGAGGTGGACGAGGAGGAGGAGGAGCAGCAGAAGGAGGTGGAGCTGAGAAGGAGGGAGCGAGGGAGAGAGAAAGACCATTGGAATCATGCGATGATGAAGAAGAGGAGGAGGAGAACGGGCAAGGAAGGGGGTTAAGGATGAGGATCGTCGAGAAGGGGAGGAGGAGGAGGAGGAGGAGGAGGAGGAGGAGGAGGAGGAGGATGAGGAGGAGGAGCGAGGAGCGAGGAGCGAGGAAGAGAACAAAGACTAAGTAGGAGAAGACGAAGAGGAGGGGAGGAGGAGCGACATGGATGCGGGGGCGAAGGAACGCCGAGGTAGAAAAAAAACGGGAAGTGGACGACGACGACGACGACGACGACGTCCACGATGGTGAGGACGAGTATGGGGCGGCAAACTCAAGTAGGGGGACAGGATGAAGAGGAGGAGGTGGAGGAGGAGGAAAGGCAAACAGGTAGAAATGCAGGAGGATAAGCAGGAGCGGATCAAGAAGGGGACGTGGCAATCATTACCACTAAGCACCGTGTTTGTTATCAGCGCGATCGCCATCCCCCATACGCGTTGCGAGGTCATTCGCAACCTTGCTTCGCGGCGATGCGTTTCAGGGATGACCCGCGTCATCATCACCAGCATCCCGTCTCCGTGTGCAGAGGCGTCGTCAAAAGGATAAAGGAGGAAGAAGGGAAAGCGGAGGAGGAGGAGGAGGAGGAGGAGGAGGAGGAGGAGGAGGAGGAGGGGGAGGAGGAGGAGGAGGAGGAGGAGGGAGGAGGGGAGGAGGAGGAGGAGGAGGAGGAGGAGGAGGGGGAGGAGGAGGAGGAGGAGGAGGAAGAGGAGGAGGAGGAGGAAGAGGAGGGGGAGGAGGAGAAGAAGATTGAGGAAGAGGAGGACGAGGAGGTGATTGAGGATGTGGAGGAGTGGGCAGAGCGCGAAGGGAGGACTGGTCGCCACGCGGTCTTCAGCTCAATCTTTTGTTTCTCTGTTGTTAATGATCGTGGCCAACAGTTGGCCGCCGAGTCCCACCCGAGGACTGCGCGCGCTCACCCGCGGCCCCGGGGCCCGCGAATTGCGCGGGCGCGCCTGTGGCCTTGGACGGGTGCTGCCTGCCGTCGTCCTGCGCGTGGGCAGGCTCAGTTTTTCAATACGGCGCCCGTGCGACTGTCCCACGGCGAAGAAGAACTGCATCCAAAAGCGCAGATTTCCGGAGCTCCGCGCGGCATTCTCTCGGCTCGGCGTTGGGCCCCCCCCCCCCGAGCAGCGCCTCCGGTGCTGCCCCCCATGGGCGGCGCGCTCCGCGTGCCCGGCAGGGGGGTCCGGCGCCGAGCCGAGGAGTGCGCGCGGACCTCCGGAAGCGCATCTTGACGGTCGGGCCGAGGTACAGTCAACCCGCAGAGTAAAGATGGGCAACTTTCCCAAGGGTGAATCGGGGGTGGACAGAACCCCCAACAGTGACACGTCGATCAGTGAATTGTCCGTTTTCGGTTCTCGAAAGGGCGCCGTGGCCGTTCTTTTCCAGGCCTGCGCCCGCCAGGTTTGGGCCTCAGGTCGTTTTCACTAAATCACGTTTTACTAAAGGGGGGTCTGTCCATCCCCGATGGGCAACCTTCCCAAGGGTGAAGTCGGGCCTGTCCCTCTACAGGGGGAACATTCAGAAACTGTGAAACAGTGGTGGGGAGACTGTTGCTTGAGCACTTTTTGGGGCGATTTTGGAGTACTGTTTGAGTGCTTTTCATTGTTCGTCGAAAAGCCCCCTGAAGGGGGACATGCCCGACTTGAATCTTGACGGTCGGACCGAGGTACCGTCAACCCAAGGGTACCTTTGCATCCTTGCCTCCTCGGTCCATCCTTGTGCACTTGGGTTGGCCGTGCCCCGCTCGAAAAGCTTCGATATGGGCGTCCAAGGCCCTTGCATCTACAAGATCGAGGTCGGTTCGGGAAGGGTACCCTAATCTTCTTCTCATGCTCGTGGGACGCTCTTGTGCAATCCTGGGGTGTCTTGGCCAGCGGAGGGTCTCGGGTTCTTGCAGAGTGTTCGTCTGTCCCAGGTCTGGCCGCATAATGCTGCTTCTTCTTCTTCTTCTGGCGAGTTCCGACTGCCTGCCACATGCGGGGGGGGGGGCGCATGGGTCTGGGGGAGCGCAGGAGTCACGGGAGCCAGAGGTGCCCGCACCGCTACCCAGCCTTCGTCGCCGCTGTTGCAGTCGCCTCGCAGCCTCGGTCAGAACACATCTCGGGAGAGGGTTGGAGAGCAGTGGTATCAGTATGTGTTTGTTCGCCCAGGGAGAGCGGCAGACATCTGCAGCGCACGCACAGGTGCACGGGCTCACGTTGTAGCGCATGCAGGGCAACAATGATTCAGTGGCGTGCGAATTGGACGCGCGTCGAAAGAATTGGCAACAAGTGCGCGCGCTGGTGTCGTTTCTGGAGCTTGAGTGGTTCCGCCCACACCTCCTCCTCCTCCTCCTCCTCGTCCCTCCTTCTCGTCCCCCTCCTTCTCCTCCTCGTCCCCTCCTCGTCCCCCTCCTCCTCCTCGTCCCCTCCTTCTCTTCCTCGTGAGGGAATGATCACAACACGTCTCCTCCTCGTCCCCCTCCTCCTCCTCCTCTGCAGCGAGGGGCTCCGGATCTCGGGCGCAAAAGGCATTGGTTGTGCCACGCCTGAGCGTGAGCGGGTCTCGGGCAACCTTCGGAGGAAGCCGGCGATCTTGACGCCCTCGTCTCCTTTTTTTCTGATCCCCCATCCGTATCTAAAGTCCGTCCTAGATGGGAGGATGAGGAGGAGGAGGGGGAAGAGGAGGGGGAGGAGAAGGAGGAGGAGGAGGAGGAGGACACGCGTGGTGATCATTCCCTCACCTTTTATCACACACGAGCATGGTCGTCGCTGTATGATGCATCCGATTGCATGATAGACGAATGGCCATGGCCTCAGGAGCCGATGAGCGTTGTTCCACGGAGGTCACTCTTTGTAGGCAAGCACGCGCACTGCACACATAAGGAGTGCAATCTCGTGCGCACTTGACGAAAGTCAGCCGGACGGCGCTAGGACGAGGATAACTCCGTTCCAGTGCGCTCTGAAACGCTCCCAGAGCGTTCTGGAGCGCTCTGAGAAAGTCGCGGCGCGCGAGACATCATCCAGAGCCGCCAGATCTCAGAGATTCTCGATTTATCGTCACCCGAGTTTATCCTCGTCCTGGCCTCCTCGTAGCAATCACGCGAGCACGAAGGTTATGGTGTGCTCGCTGGAGACACAAGTGCACTGCTTGGACTGGGAGGAGTCGTTCTAGAGCGTTGCATTTCAGAGCGCCGCGGCGCCTGATACATCCTCCAGACCCGCATCATTCGGGCGGGTGGTACTGGGGGTGACCAACATGGGTGAAGACGAGGGCCTGAAAGGAGGGCCCCTCACTTTAGGGCCCTGTTCTTCAGAGATCGTTCTTGAATACTTCCAGTCGTACCTCGTGACCCCCCCCCACACCCCTCCCTCCCACGTAACGGTAATGCGGGGAAACCGGCTACAGGCGTGAACGCGTGCAGTTTCAAACAGAGGAGGCGGAGGAGGAGGAGCAGCAGCGCAGCAGCAAGAGCAGCAGCAGCAGGAGGCGGATGAGGAGGAGGATGAGGAGGAGGAGGAGAAAGAGGAGGGAGGAGGAGCTGTGTATGAGGTGAGGAGGAGGAGGAGGAAGAGGAGAAGGAGGAGGAGGAGGAGGGGCAGGAGCAGGAGGAAGGAGGAGGAGGAGGAGGAAGGAGGAGGAGGAGGAGGAAAAGAAGGGGGGGAAGAAATGGGATGAGGAAGGGGACGAGGACGACGATGAAGAAGACGACGACGACGATTTACCAGTACCTACTAGTACCCGCAGTTGCTGCTCACTATTACCTAAGATGGCATACTACTTCTTACTTGTACTTTATTGGCGCTGCGTACACTTACTCCGCCATTGTTATTTGCTATGATTCCCCTAACTCTTATTACGACGACTACTACTACTACTACGACAACTACTAGGACCAGTACTAGTAGCAGTAGTAGTTGTACTAGTACGACTACTAATACTACTCCGACGATTGTACTTACTACGACTAGTACTACGGCTGTTACTGCTACGATTTCTACAACTCATACTACCACTAGTAGTAATTTGTCAACGATTCGAACTATTTTGATTAGTGTAAGTACTACGGCTATGTCTACTACTACTACTACGACTACTACTACCCTTGCTACTGCTATTGCTACTGCTACTACTACTGCGACTACTACGACTACCACTACTACTACTACTACTACTACGACTACTACTACTACTACTACTACTACCACGACGACTACTACTACTACTACTACTACTACTACTACTACTACTACCACTACCACTACTACTACTACTACTACTACTACTACTACTACCACTAGTACTACTACTACTACTACTATTACTACTACTACTACTACTACTACTACTATTACTACTACTACTACTACTACGGCTACTACTACTACTACTACTACTACTACTACTACTACTACGGCTACTACTACTACTACTACACTACTACTACTACTACTACAACTACAACTATTACTACTACTACTTCTACTACTACTACTACTACTACTACTACTACTACTACTACTACTACGTACTACTACAACTATTACTACCAATAATATTACGATTTCTACGAGTACGACTACTACGACTACTATTATTACTACTACTACTACAATTACTACTACTACTACTACGACTACTACTTCTACTACTTCTTCTACTACGACTACTACTACGACTAGTAGAGCCGCTGCGACTACTATTACGACTACCGCTACAATTACGACTCTACTAGTACTACTACGACTAGTTTTACTAGTATTACTACTACTACTACTGCTACTACTACTACTACTACTACTACTCTTCCGACTACTACAAATTATAATACTAATATGAATACTTCTACGACCGCTACTACTACTACTACTACTACTACTATTACTACTACTTCTACTACTACTACTACTACTACTACTACTACTACGACTACTTCGACTGCTACTGCTACGACTAGTATTATTATTAGTACTACTACCACTACCACTACTACTACCACTACTACTACTACTACTACTACTACCACTACTACTACTACTACTACCACTACTACTACGACTACTACTACGACTACTACTACTACTACTACTACTACTACTACTACTACTACTACTTCTACTACTACTACTACTACTACTACTACTACTACTACTACTACTACTACTACTACTACTACTACTAACACCATCAGTCTTACTAGTTCGTCTAGTACGACTCGCACTACTAGTTTTACAAGTACTACCAGCTTTACTAGAGTTGCTAGTATTACTAGTACTATTGGTACTGGCCCTAGCACTCGCAGCGGCGGCCGCCGTTACGGTCACCTCCCCCCTCCCCCCGTCCAACGTAACACGTGTTACCCCCCCAGGAAAAAAAAACAGTCTTTCACCCCCCACGCAGGTCACCCCCATACTACCACCCGCCCGAATCATCTCAGAGATCCCAGGTTTAACCTGGTCCGATGCTGTCCCGGTTTTGGTTTCGTTTTGTGGAGGGTTCACGGCGGAGGTTGCCTTTGGACGCTGCTTGCGCCCGGCGTCTCGTACGCCCCGGAGCGGAACACACGAGGCACACGGGGGCCCTGTGCCGGCCGATCACGCCGCTCAGCAGCGGCACGCCGAAGGGTATGCCATGACAGAGCCTTCTGCACTCCTGCGGCATCCGCCTGCAGGCGCACTGTACAGCAGCAGTCTCGCCAGCGATGGCCGCAGGATTACGCAGCCTCCTCCCGTCCTGTCAGGTTCACTCACGTTCATCTGTCTATGGGGCACCACGAGGCAGGGGGACGGGAAGGGATAGGAGATGGAAGGAGATTGGAGGAGGAGGAGGAAGAAGGCAAGGGAGGGAAGAGGAGGGGGACATGAGTGAGAGGGGAAGGGGAAGGAGGGAATCGGAGGAGGATGGGGGAGAGAGAGCAGAAGGGAGGATGGATTCGTACTCCATGCTGGCGCGCGCCTGAGAGGAAGAGGGGGAAGGGCAGCGCACGGGGGTGGCGTCGTTTATCATGTGGGCCGGGTCTCTTTCTCTGTTACCCGTTGCCCTCCTCTTCCTCGCCCCCCCCTCGCCCCCTCCCCCCTCCCTTTCCGCCATCTACCTCCGCCCCTCCTCCCTCTGCCCCTCGTCCCATCGATCACGAGCCACTCCCCATGCTGCCCCACCTCCCCTCCCCTTTCTCCTCCCCCTCCATTCCGTATGTGTTCTGGCCCTCTGCCCCGCATGGTAGAGGGGCAGGAGGAAGAGAGGGAAGCAGGAGGAGGTATTAGAGGAGCAATAGGAGGACCGAAGACCGAGGACGAGGACGGATATCTCCTTTCCCCTTGCTACCCATGTCTGGTGCGTGGATACAGGGTTGCGGCGCACGGTGCCGCGACCAGATGCGGCCCCAGAGACCGCGGCCGTTGTACGAGTTCGGAGGGCGGCCGCCTTCGACAAGAGGCAGCTCTCGCACGCGTGGGGGGGGGCATGGCTCTGACAGGGCCACTCCTCGTGCGCCTCGGGGCCCAGGGAACGTCGAAAGCCCAGAGGGCGAGCCCTTGCTCTGTGGCTCTTTGTTCTATGGCCACGCTTGGCGTTGGAATGGTGGCGTGTGCTGCGGCGCCGCCGGCCAGCTCATGACACGCTGTCCCCCACATCTTTGGGAGAGCGAAAGAAGGAACTGTTTGGGTTCGGAAGGGGCTCGATGTTCCTCAGGTTCCTCCAGTGCTGTTCCTCTTGCCCTCCTGGGGCACGGAGGCGCTTACAGGGCGAAGAAGGGCTTCGTTCCTTCTTTAGCGTTCCTTCTTTCAGCGGCCCGACTGTACCGGCGCCGCCCTGGCAGGGCGATAGCGGCCACAGAAGGGGGCCCTCGCGGAGGGTCGCCTCACAGAGATATCAGGCGATCGCGAACATGGATCGAGTGGGCATGGATTAGCGGCGGGTGCCGTTTCCACGGGACAGCGCAGATTTCCGCCGCCGAACGAGGCGGCACCGGCCGCATTTTCGGGAGGGCACCTCCCCCGATCCATGGATTTGGCGACCGCGCGCCACATCCATGGATCGCTACTCTATGTTTGCGCGCCCCCCATAGAAGGCGCCGGCCCTACACCTGTAGACGAGGCCGGCGGCTTCTAAGGAGCAGCCTCGTTCCAAGAAGCTTTCCCCCCTCCCCCATAAGCCCCCTTGTGCGCGCCGCCCAGAGCGGTGCGGAGCGCCCTCGGCATTCCTGTCACACTGTCGACGCTCCCCGCATCCCCACCAGAGCCCAGTCGGAGACAATGTCCACAGGCGAGTCGCCCCGATATCAGAGAAGCGCAGTAGCGCAGGCCGGAGCAGAGGGCTGGGGACGAGGAGGACGACGACGAGGAGGACGAGGAGGACGAGGAGGAGAAGGGGGAGGAGGAGGAGGAGGAGGCGGCCGTCAGACCGAAGCTCGACTTCGGCTTGTGGGAGCGCAGGGTCGCGCCGTTTCCCGAGTTGCGGCCGCTGCTTCTCCAAGACGTAAGACCAAATTAGAAGCGCGTCCCCAGTGGCGATCGGATGTGCAGCAGCGGCGGTGGGCACAGCGCCGCCCACGATCATACGACGCTTTCGCTTGTGTAGACGTCGTATGGTATAGCTGTCTCCATACGACCTGTGCCATGTGCCTGATCCTAGGCGCATCTGTGACGAACTGTCTCCAGACTTCCTGTGGTGCATCTTCGTCTGGACGTCTTGTGTTAACTATCGGCTCCCACAGGATGTTTGGGGAATGTTTGGGCCAAGACGAGCTGTGCCGTATTGATCTCTGGACTCCCCGTTGTAGATTCGCTTCCAGTAGGCCAGAAGTTTCCCAGGATTCAGCCATAAACAGCATTTGCGAATCCTTCTTTCAGGGAACCACTCGGAGGCCGTTTGGGGTTATCCTGGGGTCCTGGGTGTAAGGGCATCAAACCCAATTGGAGGTCCCTTGGGGTCTCTTTGGAGGTCTTGTGGGTCCTTTCGGAGCCATCCTGGAAACCATCGATTACACAGGGAGGTCCTGAATGTTGTCCCGTCGGAGCCCGAAACAATGTTTCTTGGGGCACTCTTGGGCATTATTGTGGCCGTTATGGGCCTCTGTTGGGGGCCTATTGTTCTCTTCGGCGATATCGGAGACATTCTGAGGCCTCAAAAGCCAATCGGCAGCGAACAGGCGAGCACGTGAAAATGATTCAACGCACACACACACACACACCTCACACACACAACAAAGAAACATGCGTTTGAATCATGTTGGCCTCCCGGGGGCGTCCTTGGGTTGCTCGGATGCCACTTGGACCCATCTTGGGGCCTCCTGGATGTTGAAAGTTTTATTGAGCCATCGTGTACTCGATTGCGCCGTCTCGGGGACCGTAGTAAGCAAACGTAAGCCATCTTGGCCCAAAAGCCTCTCCGGGAGGCCTCTGAAAGGCACAATTCTTTGAAAGTCCCAAGGTGTTCAGTGACGTCGCTTCTGAGTAAATGGAGCCCTTCATAAGCCCTCCCCCCCTGTCGGAGCCAGAATCACCACCCCCTGGGATCATCTTGGTGCTCTCTTGGCGCGCTCTTGGGAGTTGTCGGGCCGTCTCGGAGCCTTTATGGGCCCCTCGAGGGGCTCTATTGGGCAATCTTGGAGCTATCCCATCGGAGGCGAAGAGGCGAGAAAGAAAACATCAATCGCAGCACATAAGCCGTAGGGTTCCCAATGCTTTGGGACTGCTGCAAGTAGTGTTGGGAGGTCTTCTGCCAACTGGGAGCCGTCCTATGGCAGCCATGGGGCACATTCGAGGCTCGATGAACGCCATACTGAGCTATCGCGCGCCACCTCTGAGGCCATCGTGGGCTATGTGAGGCCATCTTGGGCCATCGTGGACGCTCTAACATCAGGAGCGGAAAAAAACACACAGACACAATGAATCATCGATTCCCCCCGAAATTATGGGAAAATATGGGAAGTGGGGGGAAGACAAAAACCCAGCAACTATTGGAAAATATGGGGGATCCTGTTATTTGTGTATTATATATATATATATATGTGTGTGTGTGTGTGTGTGTCCCAGGGCCCCGACATAACACCTCGCTGATCGCTGGCCCCGACACCATGGGGAGAGGGGAAGGGGAAGAGTCAAAAATCCCAACGGGAACGCCACACGCTGTCTGGCGCATTCCCACCCGCTCTCCCACCATGCAAATAGCACCCGAGACTCATTGCGCAACATATATTGCAGGACATAACACAGATTGCACAACATGGATTGCTAAACAACACGCTGTTTGGGGTTCACCCTGGCTAACATATTTGACGAGTATCAGTGATACAACCTTCCCTCCCCGAAGGGGAAGACTGGGGAAGACTAACATCGTAAGAACGAGCTCGCTAAGCCATTTACGCCCAGAAGGCTGGTGACTTCCCTCCGCCTCCTCGTCCTTTTGCTCCTCCCCCCGCATCATTCCCCTCTCTCTTCTCCCTCCGGCCACTCCTCTTCTCCCTCCTCCCCTTTGAAGGGGAATTGGGACACACAAGTAAATGTACACAAATTACCAGAATTCCCAATCTTATCCTAGATGTTCTGGGTTTCTGTCGTCCCCCCCACTTCCCATATTTTCCCAAACATTTTTGGGGGAATCGACGATGAATTGTGTCTGTGTGTTTTTGTCCCCTCCTCCGAGGTGCCGCCTCTTGTCGGCAAGAACCGCTCGACAGCGCCAGTCGGCGACCAGCCCCGTCAAGCTCTGTGGACCTGTCGCCACCGCCCACTGGTAACCACGCGAGCAGAATCCATCTCGATCTGGTCGATTCGATTCGCAGTCGGTTCGGCCCAGCGATCCGATGCGGCGAGATGTCGGCATCGCGAGATGGAATCGATTCGATTGAGATTCGATTCGGCTTCGAACCAGTGCAGATTCAGCCCAATTCGGTTCACGTGTCGATCAGATCCGACTCAGCGGTTCGATGATGATTGATCGTGGGCAGGCAAGTTCCAAAGCAGTCACCAATAGATCCCTTGTTATGTGGCTTCTGGCCAGGGCCAGACAAGCCAGCGCATTCGTCCGCTTCAGGCCACGGGAGGCATTAGTCTTAAGTCGGGCATGTCCCTTCTACAGGAGGAATGTTCAAACATAGTAAAAGAAAATAGTCTGGGGACTATTCGTCTGGCTATTTTTCATTGTTTGAGTATAACGTTTTTCGTCCAGAATTCCGCCTGTAGGGGGACATGCTCGACCTAATATAAGTCGAACGAACAAAACAGACAAACATCATTGTTCTCGTGGCTCCGCGCGGATTTGTTAAATCGGCGCCGCGGCCCCGGTGGCGGCGCCTCCGGCGCCGCCCCTGGCGCGCTCCGCGCGTCAGGGACGGGTGTCCAGCGTTATGATGTTCCAACCTACTTTAGCCTCGATCACCAGAAATAGTTCCGCGCACCAAGAAAGTACCGAAATTCGAGGGTTGTCACGTGTCGGGCCATGGGAGGCGATACTCGTTCGACACCGCTTCGATACTTTCCTGGGTGCTCGAAATGTTGTCTGGGATGTGATCCTTAAGTACGATGGGAGCAACATCCAGCGCCGATCCTAGAAGTCCGCGATGACCATCGATATTTTTTCATCGTTCCTCCAACTAGCATTCGCCCACTCCAACCCCCCATCCTCCCCGAGTGGGGGGGAGCAGGATACGGCGAAAGCGGGAAGAGGATGGAGTGGCAGGGTGGCGAGAGAAGGGGAGGCAGAGAGAGGGGAGAGAAAGGAGGAGGCAGAAGGGAAGGCAGAAGGGGAATGCTAGTTGGATTAACGACCCATCCCAGACACACATCCCAGACAACATTTCGAGCACCCAGAAAAGTATCGAAGCAGTGTCGAACGAGTATCGCCTCCCAGGAGGTAGAGAGAGGGGAGAGAGAGGGGGGCGCAGGGAGGGTGCAGAAGAGGAGGGAGGCGAGGGAGGAGGCGGCTCCAGGAAGGCAGGGAGGCGAGGGAGGAGAAGCCTGTCCCTCCTCCTCCTTCCCTTCCGGATCTCGGAGGTCAGGGGGGGGAGGGCAGAAGACCGGGGGCGGCAAGGAGGGGGGCGTTGACTTGGGGGGGGGGTATCATGGCGTGGGCCATGATATTTCCCCTGACTTCACGGCGCCTCTTCTTGCTCCATTCTGTCCCTGGCCCCCCCCCGCTGGGCCGCGCACGTGCCGCCGGTCATGAGTTGGTTGCACCCCGCCCCCCTCCTGGACACCCCCCCTCTTGGCGCGGCTCCCGAGGAGAAGAGGGTCGGAGAGGGTGCCGCCGAGCAGCTGGGGGGGGGGGGGGGGCGGGGGCCGCGCGCCGCAGGGCAGGGCGCCGCGCCCCCGCGCCGCGCCCCCCGCGGCTCGGGCCCCCCTGGTCTTCCCCCGCCGCGGCAGCCGGGGAGGAGGGCGCGGAGGCCCGCGCGGAAATAGTCCGTGGCGGAGTGCTCTCGCGGCCTCCGTTTGCGGGCTGCGCTCCCTCCGTGGACTTCGCCCCTGCTGATGGGAGGGGGTGGACAGAGCCCCCAACAGTGACACGTCGATCAGTGAATTGTCCGTCTTCGGTTCTCGAGAGGGCGCCGTGGTCCCGTTCTTTTCCGGGCCTGCGCCCGCCAGGTTTGGGCCTCGGGTCGTTTTCACGAAACCACGTTTTACTAAAGGGGGTCTGTCCATCCCCGATGATGGGAGGCCGAGTCTCGGGCCGAACGAAAGGGTGGGAATAGGGAAGGGGGGGGTACGAAATTTGCTGCACGCAGCTGGTTTCGGCCCCACTGAGGGGCCCATTCCTCGATACATAGCCGCCTCCGGCGACGGGAGGCGCCGGGAAAATCAGTCATGTGTGCTGATTCTCAAACCCTCCCTTTGCTATCCCCCCCTTTCGCCCGACCCGAGAGTCCCTACGGAGTACAGTCAACCCGCATAGGACACGTTCGTTGGCCGCGGCCCGCCCGAGACGCCTCGACGTGGCCTTCCAGGGCCCTTGCATCCTTATCGCGCATCCTTGCTGTGCTGGTTGACTGTAGGTCCGCACGGAGCGTTCGGCTTCCGCCTGGGCCGATCCCGTCTGGACTCGGCCTCTCTTGAGGCAGGGCTGCGCCGAAACCAGGGCAGATAGTGCAGCCAAGACGCTCCAGAAGGGACCGCTTGCGTCCAGCAGGAGCTGTGGCCTTCAGGCCGCTCCGCGGATTCATCGACGAGCGAGCAGCACGCACCCTTACCCATGGTTGGGACGGAGGGGGCTGTGGGTGCGTGTTGTCGGAGATGGGGGCCCCTGCTCGAACGGGAGCCTCCCACAGGCTCTGACAACCAGCACCCAGACCCATAGCCAATCCTCCTCCCTTCGACCCCTTGATTATGTGGGTTTGAGTGTGTGTGCTGTTCGTTCTCCGTTCATGCCAGGGGTCATCTTCGTGACCAAGGCGTGCCGTGGCCACGGAGGCCCTTTCGTTCCTTACTTGGCGCCGCTCCTGTTGGCACGGCAGTGGCACAGCAGGGTCGAGAGCAACCCTGGCTTCGGAGGGGTAC